TCACCACGTCATCACATCACCACGTCATCACATCACCACGTCATCACATCACCACGTCATCACATCACCACGTCATCACATCACCACGTCACCATGTCACCACGTCATCACATCAGCCCGTCATCACATCAGCACGTCATCACATCATCACGTCACCACATCAGCACGTCACCACGTCTGGTGGTGTGGTCACGTCATCACGTCTGGTGGCGTGGTCACGTCACCACGTCTGGTGGTGTGGTCACGTCACCACGTCATCACGTCTGGTGGTGTGGTCACGTCATCACGTCTGGTGGTGTGGTCACGTCATCACGTCTGGTGGTGTGGTCACGTCATCACGTCTGTTGGTGTGGTCACGTCAACACGTCTGGTGGCATGTCTCGCAATACTCTCGATGGTTGATTAGTTTATAGTAATTAGGTTACCGTCACTTGATGATTAGTTTATGAGTATCAGGGGAATATCAGTTAACAAAGTTCGTTGATAGGTAACAACAGTTTCAGGAATACCGTATATCTTTTCTTTACTTGAATGCTGAGCTCACTGTTTTTGCATTATGAAAACATGTAAATGTGTATGAATTTGCCTTCAGTCTGCTTTGAGATTCCGTCTTAGTGTTGAGATATTTGAAGATAGAATATATTAACTAACATTGTTATAGTTCGGACGAGTCATCGGCGTTCGTATTATTTTCGCAATTCGTGCGTTCCCATTAACACAGCACTGAAAATTACCAATTTTCCATTTGTTGTTTGTGCAGCATACCTGTACCTTCTCTTATTTCCGCCGTTCATGTACAAGAACTTCGTCAACATGAAGAACGCTAAACTGAAACTAACATCGTATTTCTACCATGCAAACACACAATATCCCAGGTAAAAACCTTCAAGGTCGAGTCTTTGCTGTATAAATTTTTATGTGGTCGTGAAACAGTAATTTTAATTTGCAAATGTTGGCTAGCGAAAGTTATGTGATTTGTTGGTTATTAATAATAATAATAGTTGTAGTTGAGTAATTTAAGGGATAAATTTCTCTCTTTATATTACCATTACGTGAGGACTTGGTGACGTTGCAGTGGTGTCACTCACACATGTTGGCTAACGAAAGTGATAATATGGTTTGTTAATAGTTAGTTTCATTTATAGTTATCGAAAAGTTTCATTTACAGTTATCGAAATTAAACGCTAATAGCTGTAGTTGAGTAATTTAATGTATTAATTTCTCTTTTATATTACCATAATGTGACAACTTGGTGACGTTGCAGTGGCGAACGCGCTTTCTTCAATATGATGGCTGGTCTGGCGTGGGCGCTGAACCCAATCCTGCCCAGACTCGGTGGTCTCAGAAAGGAGGTTCCCATCACCATCATCTACGGAGAGGACACGTGGGAGTGGACGTCTGCTGGCACTGAAGTCAAGGAATTACGCTCTGATTCTTACGTCAATATCCATGTGAGTTTTTTTAATTCTTTACGGTCCGTCTGCTCCTTACGTCAATATCCATGCGAGTTTCTTTAATCCTTTACGGTCCGTCTGATTCTTACGTCAATATCCATGCGAGTTTCTTTTAATCCTTTACGGTCCGTCTGATTCTTACGTCAATATCCATGCGAGTTTCTTTTAATTCTTTACGGTCCGTCTGATTCTTACTTCAATATCCACGTGATTTTTTTTCTTCTGAATCACTACTGTCCGTCTGATTCTGATTGAACATTTAATTAGGAAGACCATTTTTCCGAAGGAATTGCAGTCGACACAAAAATGTGCAATTGCAAATTGTCTTTTCATCCGTTCCAAAAGTCACCGTTATCATTATTTTTTATTAATTTTAGACAGAATTTTATTAATTTTATTAAAGAATGTAACTAGATCAACTACCGCTTGAGCTAAATGGAATGACGTCTATAAGCTTTTAACTTGATCTTTCAACTTTATTACATTTCCGCATTTCTTCCAGACAATGAAAGGTGCCGGTCACGCTCTGAATTCAGATGATCCTCATCAGTTCAACTCCATCTTGACAAAGTTGTTGAGCAACATCGACAGCGCGGACATCCCGAGAAACCCTCTCACGGGCAGCAAACCTCACGTCGAAGAATTCAAGACAAGCGGCCTGGTGTCGAGTAATAGAGAGAAGCGAACGAAGCCAAATTCTTGTCTCAAACATTCACATGAAACGAATCCGATAAAGGAAAACTCGTGTACAAACTCAACCCACATTATCAGCAGCAAGATTATTAATGGTTATTATACTGACAATCACACAGATGAATATTTCTCAAGTGAAGAGGGGAGTGAGTGCCATGAGTCGTCCGAGATTGGCATGGACTCGAGTATAAGTGAAGTTTACTTCGACACGCTAGAGTATCCTGAAGTCGAAGGAGCGTCGGAAAAACTATCAGTTATGAGATACATGCCAACAAAAAATAGGACTAAATTATTGAACACCTCTGATGAAATCATGAGTCAAACAGAGGTGTTAGACTCAGTCCTTAGACAATGCGAGCTACTTAAACTCTCAGTCAATTAGTTCTTTTTAATTTATCCTAAACTTATTTTATAATGGACGTGGCATCTTAAGTATCTTTTGGATGATGCCTGACTTATGCCATTTAAAATCTGGTGCTGAGAAAGTTCGCAAAATCTTATGTTTCTATGTAAATAATTATGATAATCTATGTATTCCTTTCACCTACTTCGATTTTTCAATTTAATGACGAATGAACATGTGATAAACTGTCTCAAATATTGTCTATATATTTTTATAAGTCACCGGGATTAAGGTGAATTCTCTGTATCTAAATAGTGTCACTATTAAGCATAATCATTACATTAAAAAAACCGAACAGCTAAAAAACAAGTAACGTAATATCTGGTGTGATTTTAAGGTCAAGTTTTTTCAACCTCATACCCGTTGTTTTATTTCATTACTTCCATTATCTATTTATAATTCATTGTATATGGATTGATGTTGTAGAAATTAATGTGGAGATGCTTCTGTTGATTGATGTATTTCCTCAGGAGTGCAGTAGCTTTCAAGTAAAGTTTTTCGCTGTGAATAGAAGGAAAATTTTTTGTTCCAAGACTTTTATAGAATTTATTTATAGCGATCTTATTACCATCAAATATATTGTTAAAGTTCTGTGTTTCAAGTGAAGCAGTTTTTTTTTGTAGCATTCCAGTTCGGAATTCCTTTCTAAGTTATTCCTGTTGTAATTGCCATTTGTATGTATGCTATTTCTCGTTTTTTATGCGTGCCTCTTACAGAAGATTAATAATGTATTTGACTCTTCACACTTCATACGGCGGATATCACACTTTCTACCCTACATCCATAGTATCCTAATATGATATTCATTTTTTAGTGTGGTATGTTTAGCCGTCAACTGCACTTGTTTTAATGAGTACTTCATCTTTTTTAGTCGGTGCTTATTGGTTTGGATTATTAAAACGTCTAAAACGATGTCATTTTCAAATCATGCTGCGCTTGATATCAAATCAGAAATAATTTAAATTTTTGTTGTGGGCAGCTTAGTTCTCCATAAATTGGACATTTAGCTTCAAAAACTCAAATTTCTTTTTCTAAGATTATATTATTCAATTTTTATCTGTAGCCAATGAAGTGAATAAAATGGCATTCCAGCTACACTCAATTGTTATTAAAAAATTGGTAATTGTTATTTTAAACGTTTCGCCTCAGTAGTTTCCCACTTACAGAATTTATAAGCATCAAAAAACGGTTTTAATTCTAAGGAATATTTTTGACTGTCGCTTATTATATTTTTGAATGTGTAAATTTTTATGTAATATGTAACCGACATTTGGCTGTGTTGTACAAGCATAGTTTTAGGAACTTATTTGTTTTGTTTTAACGATTTAAACTATTATCTTATCGAAGCAGGTGAATGGAAATCATTGGCGCAAATAATTGAAACCCGCGTAGGAGGTTATTTCCCAGTATAAAAGTCTCTGTCCTGAGTCTGGGATTCTTTTAATATTAATGTTCCAAATTTCATATTTGATGTTTCATTCACATCGGGGAGACGTTTTGGATGGGCTTTGAACAACCAATAGGAACGACCACAAAGAGAAGTGACTATTTTATTGGTTCGTAAACTGCTTCTCTAAACAATATTCTGACTCCTTTGGAATTTAGTTAATTCAATAGGGCATCAAAGTCTAAACGTATACACAGATATATTTGCGAATTTTCAATGTATATGAAATGCCTACATTGTATAATATCCGCAAACTGATATATAAAAGATGCAATGAAGTGTAAGAAGACAGTGAGAAGTATGTGCGCGGATACAAAAGCATGTTCATGATGTTGTCCAGTGACTTGGTCCGTTCTTGGTCCTCTGAACTGTAACCAATTATGTTTCAATAATTGCCTACTGAACATCTGCAGAGACGAAGCGAAATAGTAGTGATTCCAGTAGTATTATTAGGATAAAACAGTATTTTCATACATCTTGATGCTTTAATTAATTATATACAATTCTCACCCGTGATCCGTGTCCTGATGTTTATGACGAACACAGTATTTAAAAGACAGCATAACCAACAATATAAGCCAATCAACTATGGTCAGTTTTAATATATATATATGAAATCTTACAGTTTTATAATAATTTACGTTCTGATATTCACAATTAATAATATGTAATTCACGATCGTTCTAGTACGTAGCGCAAATTTCATCTAGAGCCCTCTGGCAACATCGTTAGGGTTCACAGCTTACAAGAAGACCAAGTTCACTCTTCACACCGGTCGCCGTACAAAGAAGTTGCGCTGAAGGCTTTCTCTTGTGTTGTGTTAAGTTCATAAATTCTCTGGGTGAGTAGTTATCAAAGTGTCGATTGAGAATTTTTCCACGTATATCATGAAAATTTGTATTCGTTGTTTAGTTTAAAGTGGATTGATAGTAATTGTGTCGTATTTAGATGCCGTTGTCTAGGCTAGGGGCAACGGCAAGAGTAGGTAGTTGAAGTGAGTTGTGCCACGGCCTCAGGATGCCGATTGCCGATTCACACTAATGATTCATAATCGTTAACCACAAGAATAAACGAGTAAAATTTAGTGTTCAAAATAACAAATCGGAAAGATAAGTCAAAATTTAAACTACCTATATTCAATCATCTCGCAATACTTGTAAATGTAATAGAAAGACTTGTAATCAGAATTGCTAATAGATTTGTAATCAGAATTTTCTTCGGGCGTCTAATCTAAATTTTAATTATTCTTATGATGTATTTAATATAAGCCAGACAGGCAGACACGGTTAATGTGCTTTTGTCTCTCCGTGACACATGGAAAAATCAAGCGGCGGTATATAATAGGAAGAGCATGACTGTAGCTCGACAATTCTACTGAAAGTGTGTGCGCAAAATTAGATTAACTTTGCTGAAGAATCTTCGATGTTAAGAGTAGAAACATAATTATGCAATAAGTATACGTCAACCTTATTAACTGACGGCGAACGCTACACACCACACCTGTTGTGGCTAAGACCGCGAACGTAACTTTGCGGAACCTAACCTAAACTGTCGTCATTTAATTAAAGATTCAATGGGTAATCGGGACCAGTGAGATTTGCATAGAATGAACAGCATTTTTCAATTAACGTTTTCTTTTCAACTTCGTAAGTGTGAAGCTTGAAAAACATTTCCCCAAATAATTCGTAAGTCGTATGATTTAATTAACTAAACGCGTTCGTTGCGAGCCCCATCGACGGTCGTGCGTGCCAGGCGTGTCCTGTGCTTGGGATGACTGCGCTGCAACTGCGTTGCCAAATATCAGGAAATTTCTGTGAAATCTCAAAACTTGTCAAATACCTAATGAAAATACCTTTTTACAGAAAAAAACGTATAAGAAGCGTATAAAATAAATACATTAAAGGAAAATGGTACAGAATGTCCGATTAACTCAACGGCACAATAATAGTTCCGAAATAAGTTTCGTTCATTCTATTATGAAAATTATTTGTTTATAGGCTACGACCAGAAATTTTTCTGTATCCTATTTCCCAGCCGTGTCCAGCCGTACGAGCTAGGGTTGCCAGGTGGAGACTTTCGACCTTTTTCATTTGCGTTGCTCGGCCAAAATCTATTATGACCCTAAATATATTGTAATTTTCAATATATAAAGAACAATAAATTGAATCATTACGCCGTAAAATTAAAATTCACTGATTTGAATTGGAATTTTGGGCGGTTTCTGCTTTCCACTATTTGGCAACCCTGCGGCCGCCACGTGCTCATTTTTCAAAGCCGTCTGCCGTCAGTCTAATCCTGGTGATGGAGATGAGAAAGCTGCACAATTGAACTGACTCTTAGTTAGGTTTGTGAATCTAACCGAAGAAAAGACTCCCAGATAGCGTTACCACCAAAACACTACAAACTCGTAAAAATTTTTAGAGACGACCGTTGTAACGATGAGTTGAACTTTACCATGTCGATGAAGATAGACAATTTAGGTATTGCTGCGACTAGTCCAAAGAATTTAAAATGTGTTTTTTAAATCATAAAATCTATATTAATGAAAAAGAGGAAATTCCACATGTACATATATATGGTTTCCAATATATTAGTATCTAATATCGTGTGTGATGTCTAAAGAATCGTGAACCGCGTCGTCATCACGCCATGTCTAAAGGTGCTTGTACACGGGGATAGTGCAGACGGCTAGTAAATCTGGCTAGTGACGGTCGCTTGGTGACTAAATTAATCAACGAAGCAAAGTTATGCACTTATGCTGTTGATACTTCGTAATTTAATATAATTGCACGCAACAAATATGTCGTGTCGAATCAATAAATCAAAATATCGCACAATTCATTATTTAATTTCAGTAATAACGTCAATTGTATGTATTATTATAGAATGGAAGCAATGAAAACTTGGATTTAGAAAATCGCCATGTTTACAAACGAGTTGGACTCCTGCGTTTGGTATTTTTTTTATCCGAGACGAGACAACAGGCTCTGTCCCGGTTAGCAATAAAAACCGGGACAATTTTCAGCCCTCCCTATGAATTCCGGGACGATACCGAGACGAGACGAGGCATCCCGTTTAAAACGGGTAGCTTAAAATTTCCCGGAACTTATAGCCATTTTAACGGGACATAACGAGGCCAATCAATTATTGATGTGGTGTAACATTTGGCTTACCATAATACATTTATATAATAACTTGAGACATATCCTTTTACTATTTTGATTGGAGCTCGGCAATTGAAATGATTTTTGCTACGAGTACATGTTGCAGTTTAATATGGTACCTAATCTTGACAGGCAAATAAAAATGGAAAAGCACAATATTTATTTTCCAAAAATTGTGTTCTATGATGGTCTGGAAGGGGTCATACTAGCTGTAGCTGGTGACATCGGCTGACTGGACAGACTTAGATTTGCTTCAAGCTCAATCACAGAATTAGATTCATCGATCTTGCCTTGATCAATCTCCTTCAACAAAAATTCTGGAAAGAAATATCAACAACATTTTAAAATACAACAAAATTTAAGTTGGAAAAAATATAATAGTTTGGTCTTCAAAAAATAACTCGAAATATCCATGTGTATCCTTTCTAAATAACGTTAAACAAGCGTTTAATAACAATTCAATAACAAATAATCTAAAACTAGTTTTAGTATTATTAAAATTATCTTACCAGGACTCCACTCCACTGTCTACTAATTGGCCGACTAATCTGCGACACTGCGTCCCTACTCCCTATGCGCTCCATGGCGCCTGAACTCGTTCCGAACGCGTAATGAACTCGACTCGTACTCGTACGGTTCCCATAAAGTGCCATCAAAGCCTTAGTTAAGACTTAAGGGTAACATTTTTTACTCGATACTCAGCCATACATCGACAGGTTTGCGCGGTGTTTGTCGGACAACTAATTAACTGCCATGTCAGTTAGTCTGCAAATTTTGCTAAATCTGCAATTAACCCAGTTTAACTGGTAACTGTCTATGGCCCTATTTGCTAGAGGGCTAACTTGCCATTCTTCTACCCATGTTTTCGAAATGATTCGTATCGTAATGAAAAACTTGTTTTGTCTTGAATAATTAAGACAAATCTCGTCTCGTATCGTTATGTCTCGTTTCAAATCTGTCTGTCTCGTCCCGGTTCATAATTTATCGGGACACAAGTTTTAAAGTCCGGGACAGAAGTCTTGTCTCGGTTCATAGTTTATTCCGGACAAATTTTACTCTCTGTTCCGTTATTTTTTTCCGGAATTTTATCGTCTCTTTTCGTCTGTCCCGGTTCATTTCGAGAAAATTATTTTGTGACGCAGGAGCCTAAAACGAGTAACCTTACCATAAAGCCTTTATTGACTACATCTCATGAATATATGTTTCTAAGACTAATTTTCTATTGGACATCATTGTTGAAAATACGCCATTATAACGTCTATGGTACCAAGTTTCAAACGCCAAAGTATGAACCTGGCAATTATCTTGCCACCAATGTATTTGGAATATCAGGCAGAAATTTCCTAGAATTGCGAGTGAAAACGATCGTTTCACGGCTGATTTTCGAAGACCTCGTAAAAATAGGCCGTTTTTCTCATTTTTACTCATTGAATTTGGTAAGGGCCATAGGAACGGAAAAACTTGCCATATTCACGGGCGTTTTGTGCCAATTCACAGGCGGCTTCTGCCCAACCTCTGACTTGGAGGGCGGCGGCGCCCTGCCGCCCACCATGAATGCCCTTCTCATTTTTATTCCCAAATTGAAAAATCATGCAGAAGCTCTTCCCCCTATGAATAAGATGAAAAACAATCCTGTTACATGAAAATGTTACCTGTTCCTATGGCCCTTGCCTAAATTTTTGCTTAGATTCCAGGAGATAAGCAAATTTATGTACACGATTTTTTTAAATCGCCCGTGAAATAATTGTTTCACTCGCGAGCTTCAATAGATACTGTCAGAAATTCTAGATTGAATACAGTCCAGTTCCATTGTCTTGCTGCCTTTTGGGGTTATTAGTGGGAAATTAATTCTAAACAAAGAATCCAGCTTTACTCTATCCTTTGTTAACATTAAACTAATGCTGGGTCAGGTAGCATTCTTGTATGGGCGACACACTGGGATTAGTTTCAGAAAGCACCAAAATGCTACCAAAATTGAAGTCGATTACACGTTGATCCAACGGAATGAGCTCGTAATAACATTACATACTAGTAATTTGCCTGGAAGGGAAGGTTTTCAGTGAAAGTGTATCATTATACAATGCAGCACTAAATCTTGACTTCCTCTAACGTATGGTCTGCAATCACAGAAGGCTTGAATCAGTCTTATTGTTAGTAATATGCAAGTCAGAGCAGAATACTCGGATTGCAACTGAGTGAAAATTTCTTGTCTGCATCCTAAAGTTTGTATGCGTCACTGTGGTCCATTATTGCAGCTAAAACTCTATGTGAGGCATCTTCGTATATTTCTGTTTGGTTAAAATTTGGGCAATGCAGTCTTGAATTATGTAAGCATATTCATTCAAATTACTTCCACGCAATGTGAAAGTGCTTTATTGTTGAATGTTGTAATAATTTTTAATCAAATTATTTTGCTAAACTTTTAATGTCGTGCAGATGGAAAATCACGGACTTTACGCAAAAGAGCTCTAAGTGAAGTGTGCGAGATAAATATTAAAGATAATATTAGGAAAATTTATTGGAACTCTGCTCGATATGGCTACTGCTTTATTGGCGTGCGAAATTTGTGGCGAGGCATTCGATACCGGCATTCACAAGCCGCTTTGCCTTTCGTGCGGCCACACATTCTGCTTCACCTGCATTACAAACATATTAACAGTGTCTGAAACGAAAAGGTGCTCAAAATGCAGGAAACAAATTTCCCAACTCATAGATCAAATGCCAGTTAACTACTCATTGATTCCCCTTGAAGCAATTGCTCGTTCAAATCTCGTGCGTTCACGGTCGGCAACGCCGTGCCATCATAAAGACAAGCCGCAGGATTTCTTCTGCGTGGACTGCTTGGAACTCATGTGCTTCACGTGCATCAGAGGCACGCACGCCACTCACAAAATTGAACAGCTGGACGACCTGCTTCAGAAAGACGAATGCGTCATGGACTCGTGGTCCAAAATACGGTCTACGATGAAGAGCAAACTTGAAGGCATGAATAATTTCGTCTCCGTATCAGACGGTATTTTGAGTTTGGCTGATGAAATCCTCAACCTGAAAAGTGATTTTGAGGGCTGGAAGGATGCGCTGCTGGCCCACAGAGTATCAACAGAACAAGATCTCGAGATCTGGGGTAATGAAACAAGCGTAACTGATGAGAACAAAAGAAAAAAATTAAAGGAAATGCTCAGTCGTCTGCACTATAAACCTGAAGATTATAGCAAGAGGTTCGATGCGAGGGTGGATGCAATCAAAATGAGGTTGGATGCAGCCAGCATGGAATGTGCTACGTTGGAGGTGAGTGGAATAACTTTTCTGTCTAGAAATGGATAATGTGAAATGGATACTGTCTTAGTTATTTGTATAAATTTTTCACCTTATAAATTGAATGGAGAGGATAAAATAATCTTGAATGGCATGTGAAAGCACTGGAAATCGTATACATATTACATCTAAATGGAGGCGGATATAAACACGCCACGGAGGTGGAAATTTGGTATGAGTTTATTAAAATTGATAGTTTCAAATTTGTTCGCTAACCTAACCGCGTATATGTAAAAATTAAAACAAAAATTAGTGTTGCGAACTTGTACATCTGCTTATATTGACCACCTTGAAAGAAATCAGAAGATTAAATACCGTAGAACAAAGCAATCTTGATTCACTGGCAGTTTAAGTTTAACGATAGCATGATGATAGAACGTCTTTACTTTGACTTTGACTTTGACAATACGATTTAAGGTCCCATGACGGTCCTGTTCATCGGTTCATTTACTTTGCTATCGTTGGAATGATTCTCTGCCCAGAATGATTGAAGACGTTGCAGTGTATGGGTGGTAACCCTGTCGAGAATTTTCTTTTTGATACGGTATGAATCGCAGCCGTTTGTAATTTAGTCACAATCTTTCTGACAATAACTAACGTGCCCTACTGCCCTTGCCGACTCCGAAAACCCACCCATACATCTCAACCACCAATCTGGCCCGTAATGTTGTCACGACTGTCATAAATTACTCATAAATTCACAAAATGTGTTTTAATATATATTCACTGCTCTACAGGCACAAACATGTCCGCTCATGCCGCCCGATGAACAATGGATAGTCACCAGCCGTGCTGAAGGAGAGCGAGCTGTCGCCAGCCTGACCAAAAACATCAAGCCAAGTCGCCTCGTGGTGCTGTCCACCCACACCTGCCCCATCCCGGGGCTTGGGGAGCTGATGTCCCGCCTCGCCTCCCACAACACCGGCAACATCAGCCTGCTGCCCCTGGACTTCTTCTGGAGGCCGGCAGGACAGGCGGACGGAGGCTTGGAATATTTCTACAACAATTTTTGGTGAGACGCGTTTACTCGCAAATCATCGCTTTGGTGCCATAAATAAATAGCTTAAGCTATTTCATAGCTTCAGTTCAAACTTGTTCCTTTGCAAACAATTTATCTCATGAAAATGTAGTTATCATGAAAGTTATTATAAGATAATAACATAGCATGCCAATGTTTCTTATAAACTTTCATTTCAATCCGCCATGTGATGACAGGAGGAAGGTGACTGCCATGTACGGCTCCCCCATAATGGTAGTGGACAATTCTTCGCCCCTGCACATTTTTGTTCTTAACTATCGCTACTACAACGTTCGTTTCGACTGCGAAGCCGATTTAAATCGTTGTCGTAAATTGCCAGGTTGCATTGGTGAGTAATCCATGATTTTATGATGTGTATAGTTTCCTATAATGTTGAAAGCTTTCTGAAAAGCTCGTATTTTTGAAGCCGCATACTGTTTTAAAAGAGTTCATTGGCTATATTTACTGTGTATGGCCACCATCCGGTTTTCTACATAAACGAAAGCGTTCGAGGAGAGAGAAATTTCATACGTAATCCTGTTCTTACTTTCGATCTCCATTATTTAAAAAGATTGGAAATATATTTGGTCGATTTGAAGCCTTAGGACGAAAATATATTAACTGCTGGTCTCGAAATTGATCCATAAAAAGGATTTCTAAAAGAGCGGTTTATAAATAGCATTATGTTCGCAATCAAGATTCAGGTGTTTATTAATCGGATTATTTCAATACCGTTATATCTTATGCTTCATGTTATGATTATGTAAACGGTTACATAAACAAAATATCTGTTTGAGTAGGAACTTTTCCATCCAGTAAAAACATTAGACTGAGAGGAAGTGTTAGCTTTCAGGCGGAACGTTAAGCTAACGTTCTTGTTAGCTGAACGTTAGCTTTCCTTCATATATTAGAGTAATGGAAACGTAAACTGAATTCGAGCGAAATAGCTTCCTAACGAGGGACGTTCGTACAAATATGAGCAAAGAATAATTGCGTATGATTTCAATTATAATGCAATTTGTCCGACAGAAAATGTGTGCTGCGTCAGAAGCGTTCCGAAAGAAATCGGCGTGGCCTTGAAGACCTACGGTTGTGTGGTCACCCGCTGGCACTTTCCTGATCTCAGAGACGAGGACGTGGAGTGGCTGTCATTCATCCTGGCAGAGTATTTCAACACGTCCCATCAATCGTATGTGTTACATAGTAGGATTAGCATATTTCATGCCAACCTTACAGATGTGTAAGTGATTCAGTAATTATAATCATTAACTCAGAATTCTAAAACAAAATTGTTCTAGACATGAGCTTGAATGTTACCGCCTGGCAATCGTGAGCTGCTGCGCGACGGCATCGTCATAAACAGCTGTAATAAATCTTAATAATGAAAGCGAACTGGAATGAGATGTAGAATTTTTATTCCAATCCATAGGTAAACTCGCATTAAAAAGTGATTCATTTTAATGTGTTTGAGGCGCTCTCAAAACCAAGACTCAGTACAATTGATACCCATAAAAACTCAATGCGTAATTAATGCAGGGCTGTCCGTAATTCAGTTTTGCCGACTCTTTCAATGACTTCCAAGCTAAAGCCTGGCATTTTCAAGCAAAAATACACTAAACATTCAAAATTTGTAGCTAAAAAGATCATTTTATAAATTTATATGCATTTTAATACATTGTTTCCCGATAAAACGCATTTATTCCCGCTGAATGTGCTGAAAATACGCAAGATTTCGCGGTAGAATAGCTGAATAGTCAACACATGTCCGTATCGACCAGATGAAAATAATTCATGCTAGCAATTGACTATCCCTATAATTACATTTTTTGGCGACACTGAAGCAAGGCAAAATTAGGAAAATGTGCATTATGGTAAATCGCATTTTTTCATGTATCCACTGCCTATTTTTTGTATCCGTAAAATCTGAGTTTCTCTGTCTTGCATCGACCATCTTATGCTTACAGTAATTGATTCTCCCTCCTGCCACTTTTTGGTGGCTTATTTACAACCTAATAGCTTTAATTATAAAACTTACCATATGCGTAATAAAGTTAGAAGTTTTACGTTCATTCGATGACTATGTAAAGTAAGTGAATGGGCTAATTCATCTATTATTAGCTACTGTATATCTACTATATTTTTACGACTATTCACTTGTACGTGATAGTATGCAAAATGAAATTACGACTGAGTTTATTTTGAAAAAATATTATGTTATTCGTTGAAAATCTGAAAATCTTTGCAGTTGTGAGCTTGTCCTCCCGAGAGATCATCTCACGAACGAAGGCGCTCGTGAGCTGGTAATGAAGATGCCCAATCTTGGGAAGCTGTACCACGAAGCTAACGCTGCTCACCTAACGTCAGCTTGCCACCCCAGTACCGAATGCATCGAGTTGGCAACCACCAACATTCTTCACTGGGCTATAGAACGTACACTGAAAGATCATATCCACCCCAGCTTTACATTTTGAAGCACTGAATTCAAATGAAAATAATTCTGACGTTCGTTTTGGTTCAAGTTTTTCTAAGAAAGGGGAGAGTTTTTTTCAATTATGGTACATAGTCGACCATGATTCTAATAAGTGGAAGATAATGACCACAAGATACGATGTGTCTATTCAAAGTTTTCATTTGCTAGCTCTAGATTATGAGCACTTATCTAAGACCCTGGAGTTCGATAAATAATAAAGCGCCATAAGACCAGGCAGCGCATGAGCGTGGAATGGGACTACAACTTTCACAACAGAGGAAACGTATTTTTTTGTGATCAATTCGAAAATGTACAAGTTTGTCCTTTCATTGACTTCTACCCTTTCACAAGCCTTCAGATAAAATCTTCACCAAAACATGTGTACTCTTTCTATTTTCCTTCACAGTGATTCTTAATAATTTAGCCTCCGCTGAAAATCGATGTTCAGCATTATTCACTCTTCGGCCTTTCATTATTAATATATGAGGAGTTATTCTAACATAGAAATCGAGATGGTCGTTGATTGCTTACATCTGTCAGTGTGAAACTACATAAATAACATCACTTGTAATTATCGTGCAGGAATAAACTATGATTCTTCGCAAAACTATCTCGACAAAAATAATTGACTATTTCACGCCTGTTACACACATTGCAGATAAAAACTCTTTAGAATTTGATTAGTTCTGTGAGAAGCTGTGACAATCATTCATTGAAATGTAACGGTGCTCGATCACGAAGAAAAATTCAATTTCATTTCCTACGGCTGAAGATAAGTACTGATAGTGCGCTGGCCTGTTCATGGTTGAGCATCTGCAGAGGTAGCAAGAACACATTTAAATTGTGTTCTTTCTTTTCAAGAGTTTCTTGTAGTGACTCGATCATAACTCGCACTATCATTTCTTGTGAATGTCTTGGGTCATCCAGACCCGCCCATTTCTCTCAGTGTACGAACAATAGGGAGAGGATGAGGAACCTCAGTTACAACTCATATATCTCAATTCACCATACTTAAACAACCCTGCAGTCTTCTCCCTAAAAGACATTCTCAATTTTCTAGCACTAATAATATTCGTATGATTTTTGAGTACAATATAGTTCGATATACGACAAAAATACTTTTTATATATAATTCGATCACTCGAAAGTTGTGATTTTCGTTTAGAACGTGCTAGCGGACAAAGCTAGAACAATACGGTAGAATCACTTTGCTTTTTCACGCCGACGTGTTAAGATCTCCGGGGTGTTGGCCGTGCCGTCATTCTTCATCTCATCAATAAACACACTAAACACCAGATTCTTTACTCCCTCCTACTTGATGCATATTTTCTACAAACAATAGGAAGAGGAACTGCTGTATCACTTATATATCTCAATTCACACATCTTAAACAGCCCTCCTCTCCTAAATTCTCGACTGAATCTCTTGAATAGAAAATCGTTTTTTTTTAATTTACGTGCCATTGGATGCAAACGGGGATGAGAGCAGGGATTCTTTATCATTTTATTCTGTGAAAATCAATGTTTTTATTTTCACACGAGCGTGGCTCAAATCCATGGGCTTGTGACCCCAAGCAGTCACGAACCGCGGCAAGCGGCTGTAGCGGATCTCGCTACATAAAACTAAATTACGCATATCATACCTCGCTACATAGAACTAATTTAATGTAAATCATATCTCGCTACGTAGAACTAATTTTTATGTTTCTGATACTAACATTAATATTAATACTCTTAACATTACTTCTATTTCATTACTTTCACTTATCGTATTAATGAGTAGAACATCAGCATAAGAATTATAGTTCAGTGAAATCTCACTTCCGTCGTGGCAACATCCGATGCCTCCAATTTCACAGCCCCTATAGAGCTATATAGCGTTCTATTCGCCTCCAGGCATCGAACGGTCAACATCTCGCATAAGCTCCCTAACTTAGAAACTCTGCCTTAGAAAAGCTCTTATTCAATGTATTAAGTGTAAGCTCTCTAACTTAGAAACTCTGCCTTAGAATAGCACTTATTCAATGTGTTAAATGTAAGAGTAAAGTCATATCAGAGTCATTGCAAGTTTCTAAAGAATAAAATATTCATCATTCGTAGCTCACGTGATTATTTTCGTTTGAGGAACGAAAACAATCTAATTAGAGCTCGGAGTTTTAGGCTCTTTGCTTTTAACAAGTTGAAAGCTCTATTTGATATTTTGGATTGTTTCTTCCTCGAATTTAATCGTATCAGTAAAGAAAAAGGATGAAAGCTCTGCGATGATGATTGTCGCCATCGATAATGATGTCGCCATTGCTTTCCTTCCGTTGATCTTGAGCCGAAGCTATGGAGTGGCTGCAGCTTGCGTGCAGTTTCAATCGCAGCACTGCCCGCGTAATAAAGTTTGGGGAGGAGGTGGCCTCAGCACAGCCTAAAACTCCGAGCTCTAATTAGATTGTTTTCGTTCCTCAAACGAAAATAATTAGAGCAAACTCCGTTTTAGGCTGTTTGCTTTTCTACCTGTGCACGCGACTTTGTCGGGCCCTATTGAAAAGTTAACTTATTGTCACTGCAAACCTATCTCCTCCTACAGTTTTGAAGCTACAACAATGAGACACATATCATTCGATTCACAAATAAAAGATCTACAAAACGTTCATGGCGTTTTTCCTAATTTTGTTATAATTTGGATTTTATTCTGCAAAAATGGGAGGATGGCTGGGAGAAAAATGAAAAATTTATGAAAAATACCCCCACTTCCACAAAAATTTGAATTTCTAAAAAAGCCATAAACATTTTATAGATAAAGACTTTATGCATTGAATGATATGTGTCTCAATGGTGTAGCTTGAAAATCTTAGTACTAGTTACATTTCTACAGTACCCCCGTTTTTGGCTGTATTATAAGAATTTCACATTTTCCTTCATTTTTTAAAAAAAAATCACACATACAGTCGAGTCACTCGAGTGGGTTGCGTTTCGCTGTAGTGGTGTGGTGCCAGGTGTACATGCAGGTAGGTAGAGGTAGTTGGTGAATTGGTACGGGTATAACACCGTGTGACTAACTTGCATATACATGCAAAATAATTATTTGAAAATCACTTATTAAAAATCATGATTGCAAGAAGCTTCTAAACTAACTTTGCCGAGTTTGCTCAACGCGTTTGCGGTACCTACGTAGGCCATAGAAAAATCAAGAAATGATCTGTTTGAAAAACCCTTCTAATGTACCTAATAGGATTCGTTTGGCAGCCAGGTGTTTTATACTATAAACATTAATTGTATATTTAATTTCAAATGTTGGTTTAAATAATAATCACTAAGTCAGTCTAAGTGAGAAGAGCCAATACTAGAAGCCTCATCTAGGTACGATATTTTTGTTTGCAATTCTAATGAACTAAAAATTTTCATTTGAGGAACAAAAACAATCTAATTAGAGCTCGGAGGTTTAGGCTGTTTGCTTTTAACATGTTGAAAGCTCTATTTGATCTTTTGGATTGTTTCTTCCTCAAATTTAATCGTATCAGTAAAGAAAAAGGATGAAAGCTCTGCAATGATGTTTGTCGCCATCGAAGCATCGATAATGATTGATTTGTCGCCATTGCTTTCCTTCCTTTGACCTTGAGCCAAAGCTATGGTGTGGCCGCAGCTTGCGTGCAGTTTTAATTGCAGCACTGCCCGTGTAATAAAGTTTGGGGACTGGGGAGGAGGTGGCCTCAGCACAGCCTAAAATTCCGAGCTCTAATTAGATTGTTTTCGTTCCTCAAACAAAAATAATTAGAGCAAACTCCGTTTTAGGCTGTCTGCTGTTTGCTTTTCTACCAAAGTCGCCCTTTAGGGTCTGGGGGAGGAAACTTTCAAACTCTCATGAGAGGTAAAAGAAGCAATCGAGAATTTTAAACAAAGGATTACTTAATTAGTGGGGCAATGCCAATGTTGGATACCATAATGTTGGCACTAATTAATGACTGTTCTCCCTGCTACAAACTGTATTTTAGGAACTGATAACGTCCTCTGATAGCAACAAATGAATACGTTGGGGGTGCTCCAGAAGCCGTTACGCATGATTTCCTCCATGGAGACATTGCGCATCCAGGCGATGGAGTGGCTAGCCCGGCGGATGTCGTGGCCCGATGGATTTCCAGGAGAGCCGCCGAAGGAACGAAGAGCGTGAGCCAGCCAGAAGGAGCATCTCCCGGCGTTGAGTGGCTTATGAGACTTGGGCTCCAAGAAGACGTGGTTCCTGTGTTCCCATGAGGACGTTCGCTTGAGGTATTCCTTCAAGTGGTAAGCAGGGCATAATGCATGTTTCCCACCCAATGTAGGGAAGGAGATGGGTGGAGGACACCTGTCTACTGAGTACTGACTGGTTTTTGTAGATGAAGCCCGGTAGGACTGCGATCGAGACGTCGGTGGGTGAGATGGAGCACCCTGATCTAGAAGCGCTAGCTAGCTCTGATGCTCAGTTTCTGGATGCCAAAGCTGTTAAGAAGAGACATTTAATCAGAAGGACCTCTGTTGTTATGCGCGGAATGCAGAAGCGTCTAGATTCAAACTGTTTGAAGATAGCGTCGAGGGACCAGTCGATGTTTGGTTTTGGAGCGGGAGGATCGGAGAGGAACTGCGATTTCGAGAGCTCTTGGAATTCTTCAGAGGTGTTGTTTACTCCAAAGGCCAGGTACAGGGGTTTTCTGAGCGCTGCCTTGACGTTACATATCGTCATTGCCTTCAGATGTTTCTCCTCGTGGAGGAAGGTGAGAAACCGTAGAACTGTATCGTGGGTGATGTCAGTTGTTTCTGCAGGGAGCCACTCTTGGAAGCGCTTCCACTGAGATTGGTATTGGCGCATGGTTGAAAAACGAACGGCCCTGACTAGTCGTTTGGCAGAGAACTTTTCTGAGTACAGTAAGGTTAGAAACTCCACGCGATCCATTTCCCGCACCCTTCTGATGAAACCAAGCCGACGGCTGTCTTCTGGTGGAGGCAAATTTGGAGAAGGAGCTGTTTCTGCGCTCTTTTGAGGAGGACTGGGTACCATCCGGGCGCCGGCTGATGGTCTGTGCGGCGATAGAATGACCCCGTGATGTTTGTAGTCCTGCAGTTTGGGTAGCAACTGCGGTATGAAGTTTGGTGGAGGGAAGATGTACACCCCCTGCCACTGATTCCAGTCGACTGCTAGGACATCCGTTGCCACTGCCCCGGGTACTCGAAGGCAGACACATACAGGGGTAGTTTGTTGTGTGGACTGGCCATGAGGTCGACCTGTAGTGGTCCGTGCCAGTCCGTGATGGGGAATCTTAGTTTTGGTGGTTTTGTGTCCTGCCTCCACTTCCAGTGCACGCCTCTGCGGACGATATTCAAGGTCTTCTTGGGGGCTTGCAACCATTGGTCCGAG